AAGAAGAGGAAAAAAAGAGTAATCTGATACAATTTGATGAACTTGACCTACACCTATGGATGCAGTAGCTCAAAAGAGGGAACAAATCTTTACAACGAGGATCATTCCCACCCCATCCATACACAGAGTAGACAGGGATGAACAACTTGTACATTGGCTACACACAATGGGGGACTACAAAGGCAAGAAGTGACTGGCTTACAAGCTATCAAGAGGGAGCCTAGATCCAGAGAGCTCAGAAGAAGGTAGAATCTCCACTGAGTAGTATCCAATCTGTCTGGGTGGGGTTGATGAATGGAGATGGGGATAGGACTCTAGTGGTACAATAGTGAATAATTGTTATCAGGACTGTTAGAGTTGGAAATGTAAAGGTAGATATCTTGTAGCAAAAAGGAGGGGAGTAATTGACTTTGCAGTCCAGGACCATCAAGGGAGAAGAGCAGAATGTGGGACCCTACCCAGAGAAACAGTGATGCCAGAGATGGAAGCAGAGATGATGACGTGGAGAGATGGAGCAGCAGGGGGCTCTAGACCCAGAGAGGGAGAGGAGCTGTGTGCTGATGACCGGGTGCAGGCTTGCAGGGTATACCCTTTGGTTGGCTGATGATGCATGGAGGAGATTGTAACAAGGGCAATGAAACGATATATGATAGGATGAATGTAAAGCTAATGTTCTCCCATGTAAACTATCACATAATTCACAATAAAACCTTAAAGAAAATAATCATAATAAGCAAGCCCAGAAGCCATCAAGGCAAGCAATCAAGTTCATTCAGGACAAATTCACCTCTAAGACTAAAACTCAAAGGGAACACATGAACAGGCATGTAAGCTTGCTGGAAACCACACTGGTCTACTGGTGACTGGAAGGCGGGGGCAGGGGGAAGCAGCAATGAATAAATGGGCTAAGTTCAACCACAGTCCATTGACTCCCATTGCCCTGGAGATGAGAGAGAGAAGAGGAAGGGCTTGTTGGTCCAAAGTGTGGTAAGACCTGGGGACACTTGAGCCCATGGACAAGGACAGAGCCACAAAGGGATAGACCTGAGAGTGAAGCATCCAGCTGATATGAAGTGAGGGGAGATGCACAAGAACACCCACACTTGCAGACAGTACCCATTTGACCTAGCCTTGATGGCTTGATAATCAGAACTCTACTAGAGGAAGATTACAAAAAAAAAAATTTTTTATATAAAGGAAACAAGGGTAAATTGCTACAATTTGATGAACCTGACCTATACTCATGGAGGCAGTAACTCTAAATACCAACAGAGAGGGAAGGAGTCTTCATATCAAGTATCTATGCTATCCCCTCTGTACACAGGGTAGATAGGGATGGGCGACTTAGACATTGGCTACCTAAAATGAGATAAAGACATGAAGTGAATAGCTTACAAGGTTTCAAGAGGGAGTATAGTTTAAGAATGTGGAGGGAAGAAAGAGTCCCCACTGAATAGTTTTCATCTTGTCTAGATGGCCTGGTGAAAAGAGATGGGGATAAGATTCGTATGATTCAATAGCTATGGGTGGGAATCAACTCAACAGCACTTAACAATAACAACAATCCATTAAGTCAGTATTCGACTTGTGTAATTGTCTATATTTGTGTTCTCTTTTACAATAAAAAAAAAAAAATAGATTTTTAAATCATTATGTGGATGACCGCAGTCTTGCGCTACCTCAGACAGGGTCATATCCTCCAAAAATTGTTTCCAGATAGCAGTAGTGGCCATGTGGAGGCCAGTGTCCTTCGGAACTGTGTTGGGGATAGGGGGAAAGATTCTATCTGGGAAGAATGCGGTTTTACTGATGAAAAGGCAATAAAAGTTGGTGAGTCTGACATCCACATCTTGATGCTCCAAGGCATACAAGAATTGAAAAAGACTTCTAATCCTGCCAAGTCAGCCTCAGTGCTAGAGATGTTTTCTTTCTGCAGTCCTTAAAGCAAGAGCAGACAGCTGAGTCAAACTTTCTCCAAAGGACCTGCCCCACCTTATACCTGCACAAACTATGATATCCCAGGCACCCCTTCAGATCCAATGTAATCTTACATGAAGAAACTTGCAGCCTTAAACATTCTCTCCTGGGAAGGAAGAAACTGGCCCCCCTACACCCCACCCTGTCCTCACTGCCTCAGGGTCTGCTCACGAACACCATCAGAAAGTGTGAGCACCTCACACCTGCTTGGAAGGTATCTATAGCTGCCAGACTCTGGCCTTGCTTAAGTCTACCACCATCCCCACCACACACACCAGAGCCTATGGGGGAAAGTGGCTCTACCACTATCCCCTATCCTCAGAGGAAGCTACCCAACCAAGGCAGAGACCAATCACCTTGTGAGTGAGTGCTGCATAGAGCAGGTAGCCTGCCTGGGTGTGCACAAGTCCCTTGGGCTTGCCGGTGCTCCCCGAGGTATACAGCAGGAAAAGCATGTCTTCACTGCCCATGCTCTCTGGGGCACATTCAGGGTCCTCTTTGGCCATTTCCTGTGTAAGAGAAGATACAAACAGCCTGTCCAGGTCATTTAGCCATTCCCAGGGATTCTTCCCCTCAGCACTGTAGGACCTAGTAGATCAGATCTAGAGTTCATTCTCTCCATCCTGCCCAAGCCCAATTCCAGAGGCAGAAACGACACAACAAGAAGGACAGATACAGTCTAAATAGTGTATTGCATTTGTACACGCCCCAGTGTGTCTGTGGCATTCGAGTTTTACCATCCCATCCAGGATATCATCTACTAAGACTGCAGGAGAACTGGACATCTCCAAGGACCCAGACTGAGAACCACACTGGCAAGCCTCAGAACCAGGAAACCCTGGACTCATCACCCTCTTCAGGCTATGCCATGCAAGGTGAACCTACCTGCTCTAGGTTTACATCCAGCTTCCCCATGGGAACTTTCCTGTCTGTCCTGTGGGTCACAAGGACACGCTTAACACTGGGGCAGAGCTTCACAGCTTCATCCACAATCTTCTTCAACTCCAGCACACGGCCTCCCCGGATCCCCTGGTTGACAGTGATAACCACCTTGCACTTGGCTGCAGAGACAAGAGCACTTTGGTCAGTTACCCTCCCACATGACCCACATGGCTGTATTCAACTTCACACCCCAGGCACATAAGTATGATAAACTCCAATCCTGATTAAAGAATTCAACAAAAACATGAAGGCAAGTTGCTTTGCAGTTGCAGTACATGGTGCAAGCACCAGACTGGTCCCAGCTCTGTAGGTGTATTAGAAGTAACTGACAACTGGTACTTGGTAGTGCCATTCTTTTCCATACTGACAGTATGATAACAACACCAAACTGGAGTCCTGCCATTCCCTCCCAGCTATTGTGGAGCTTTCTTAGGGTAGGGCTGCCATGGTGCCATGGCCACCATAGTGGCAAATCATGGCTAAGGTTAAGACTGCCAGGGCTGAGCAACCAGAAGTCAACTCAGGGTTCTGTGTAGACCAAGACCTATCCTGGGAACAAACATCTGGGTGGGAGAAGAACTTCACTACTCAAGAGGACCAAGAACCCACCCCAGAGTACTAGGACTCAACAGTCCCCTTACTCTCACCTTCAGCCCTCCCACCCTTCCATGGCCCAGTCAATCCCATGGCTGTGCCAGAGAGACTTAAGTTTTCATGTCTAACCCAGGAATGAGGCCCTGAAAAGGGAATCAGAACAATACAATCTGGACCTCAGGAACACAGGCAAAAGAATCACCTCCCAACTGAGCCTCTACATGGGATGGCCCAGGGCAGGAGGGAACCAAGGATCAGTGGGTTATTGTACAGTCAGCCTACACAGAAGTGAACCAAAGATATATCCAGTCATCATGTTGACTGACAATAACCCACTCATACCCTCAGACTTTTAATTACCATCAGTGTTTCTGTAATTAAGGGTTCAACAAACTAGGATTAGAGGGGAAATTCACTGATTAAGGACATTTATGAAAAACCCATAGTTAACATCATACTCAATAGTTGGAAACTGAATGCTTTGGGCAAATTTGCTGCAAAAGATCTCTTTAAAGTATTAAAGAGCAAAGGTGTCTCTTTTGAGGACTTTGATCACCTCATATGTAAGTGAAAGCTAGACAATGAATAAAGAAGACTGGAGAAATATGCCTTTGAATTATGATATTGATGAAGAATATCGGATGTATATAATGTGTATATATATATATGTGTGTGTGTGTGTATATATACATATATATATATACACACACACACATTTTTATAATGTATATAAATAAATCTGTTTGGGGAAAAGTTTTTGATAGTTTCAATCTTTTCTCCATTTATTATGATGTTATTTATTGGTCCATTTGTGAGGATTTTCATTTTCTTTTCCTTGAGGTGCAATCCATACTGAACGCTTTGGTCTTCATCAATAAATATTTCAAGTCATCTGCATATCACAGGTTGTAAATAAGTCCTCCTCCAAACCTAATGCCATGTTCTTATTCATATAATCCATAACTATCTGCTGAATTATTTGGTCCATATACAAATTGAATAAGTATGGTGAATGGATATAACCCTGGCACACATCTTTCCTCATTTAAAACCATTCAGTATCCCCTTGTTCTGTTCAAATCTGTGTACAGGTTCCTTATGAGCACAATTAAGTGTTGTGAACTATCCATTCTTTGCAATGCTATCCACAGTTTATTATTATTATTATTATTATTATTATTACCCATATAGTTAAATGGCTTTGAATAGTGAGTAAAGCACTAATAAACTGCTTTCTAGGATTCTCTACTTTAAGCCAAGGCCCACTTGACATCAACAATGATGTCTCTAGTTCTGAATCCTACTTGGATTTCTGACAGCTCCTTGTCAGTGAACTACTGCAGCTGCTTTTGAATTATCTTTTGCAAAATTTTACTTGCATGTGATATTAATGATATTGTTCTATGATTTCTGCATTCTGTTGGGTCACCTTTCTGTGGAAATGGGCACAAATAAGGATCTCTTTCAATTGGCTGGCCACGTAACTGTCTACCAAATTTCTTGGCATAGACTAGTGAGTGTCTTCAGCACTGCATAAGTATTTTGGAATATTTCAGATATATGGTCAATTCCTTGGAGCCTTGTTTTTCACCAGTGTCTTCACTGTAGCTTGAACTTCTTCCTTCAGTACCATCGGTTCTTGATAACATGGAACCTGTTGAAATAATAAATCATCAACCAATTCTTTTCAGTACAGTGACTCTGTATTCCTTTTATCTTCTTTTGATGCTTCCTGCATCATTCAATATTTTGCTCATGGAATCCTTCAATATGGCAACACAAGAGTTGGATTTTTCTTCAGTTGTTTTAGCTTGAGAAATGCTGAGCATGTTCTTACCTTTTGGTTTTCTAACTCTAGGTCTTTGCACATTTCATTATAATATTTTACTTTGTCTACTCTATTTGCCCTTTCAAAGTTTCTGCTCAGCTCTGTCTCTTCATCAATTCTTCCATTATCTTCAGATTCTCTACATTGAAGAGCAAGTTTCAGAGTTTCTTCTGACATCAATGTTGGTCTTTTCTTTTTTTCTTGTCTTTTCCTTTAGCAGCAGTGTTTAGCCATTTGCACCGCCATGGCTCCTTCAGTGGCATTAACCAAACCAAAACCAAACCCACTACCATCAGGTCAAGTCAGACTCATTGACCATATAGGACAAACTCCTCCTTAGGGTTTCTGAGGCTGTAAATCTTTAGGGAAGCAGACTGTCTAATCTTTCCTCTGTGGAGGGGAAAGTTAGCAGCCCAATGCTTAACCCACTTGGCACCCCTAACCACATTTTCTCAGCAGAGGGAACCAAGGCTTCTTGGAGCAATGCCAATTCAGATCAGGGAAAGAAAGTATAAGATGAGCCAGGATTACCTTATCAGCTGAGGTAAGGGGAACCATCAGACCACTGTGGTCACATCAAAGGGTCATGGACCAAAGACTCAGTATAAAAACTATTAGACCTCATTGAAAGATTCAGCAAAGTGGCAG